GTAAGGGCCAGTGCAGGAACTATGGGGCTCTTGTAGACCTATGTTTGTGAATCTTACGAGATGCGTCACGATTAACTGATGGAGCTAATCACGTCACACAACACAATGCAGCAGACGAGCGAACGTGAATCTATAGATAGATAGATAGATAGATAGATAGATAGATAGATAGATATGCTGATAGAGCTAGCATAGGAAGTGATAAATTGAAGATATGATATAGGAGTACCTGTTGAGTAAATAGGCAATTTATCGATTAAATTAGTCCACGAGTAAATCACTAGCATGGCATTGACACAAATAAACGCATACTGATATTCAGTCAAACTAGTACATACTACGCTAATTGCAGAAAGATCTACATATAACGCTAGCATGGCTAAAACAGAAAATAGTAGGAGCGGGAAAAACGAGTTATACCCTCCAGTAGGCCATGCAGAGGCCGCGGCTTTGGTGGCAGCAACGACGTCCTCGGCGGCCTTCTTGTCAGCTTCAGCTTTCTCGGCGGCGGCACGTTCGGCGTCGGCGGACATGATGATGATAAAGGTGACGCGGACGTAGAGGAAGTAGACGATCGGAAGTGAGCAGTCGCGTAATCGCTGCCCAAAAACCTATTCGCCCCTCACCCCGTACAGGAACCAGAAGGGCGTGATTTCGGAGACCTGCTCTCCCGTCGACCGTGTATGCGGCGGAAGGGATGGAGTCACCGGTGGCAGCAGCAGCAAGGGAACAACGGTGGGCATGCGCGTGAAGCAGATGTGATCTGTCCGTGGCGGCTAGGGTTAGGATACACCGCATATAAGCGCAGCCGCGTGGAGAGACGTGGGCTCGACCCACATCCAAGTCCGTGACAGCCCATGATCCGACGTCTCAGATCGTCGCCCAGCTGTCAGAGAACTCTCCGTTAGTGACTGGCAAAAATAAGCACGTAGGTGTGAGCTCGGCTCGGCTCAATCCCGCGTCGAGACGTGGCGAGGCGGGCGGCGGAGGAGGAGTGCGCGAGGGCCTCTTCTCTTCTCAAGCTCCAATAGCATGTAGAAAAAAAACCCTTATAAGGAGGTCCAACTCCTCTTCTACTTTCGGGGTGAGACTAAACTTTTCACTACACCTAATGCCATATAACCCACATGGGTCCTTAGAGATTTTTCAGAAATTGCTATATGGGTCTAGAGCTCATCTCAAATTTCAGCAGTACCTTGGATCGGTCAGTTCTCATCTCAATGATAACACGATGTGAATTTGCATCTCGCTCTGTCCGGAAGCTCTGTCCGGAAGCGCTCGGCAACGGGCGTGCGCGTCCAGCGCCTAAAAAACTAGATAGCGGAGCGGAGTTCGTCGGAGTACTGAACCCTAGCGGCGGTTCGTCCAGCGCCAGCAACTCGTCTCGCGACCTGGAGAGCCTGGGGTCGGGATCAGGATCGTTGCGGCTTAAGCCCTATTTGGATCATGGGGTTAGAGCTAGTTTGGGTTAGTTGGGGGCTCAAATAACCCTGGGTTAGTTCCATCTAACCCAACTATCCCGATGGGGAGGTGCTTATTTGGGTTAGAGTGGGTTAGAAAATAACTCTAACTCTAACTGTGTTAGAGTATTCAAACAGGGCCTTAGCTTTGTAAGGAAACTGGCAAATTACAGCAAACTTCTCGCCATCATCATGGATTCGCTCCATCCAGCTGCTAGGCCCTTGAGGCTGCGTACTAATCGATCGTATCAGTGTTTAGCGTCCCTGCTTCTGAGGCCCATGGGCTATATGCAACGTGAAGAAAGGTATGTGCTACTTTGAAGAAGTGAAGCACAGCACGGCTGAGTTAAGTTGAGTTAGCGCAGCCCAGATCAACAAGTGTAGTTTTCGAGAGTGTGTACTGAAACCAAGTGTGATGTTGGTTTCTGTGACTAGACATGAAAAGATAAGATCGCTTGGAGCAGTCTGCAGGTTGTTGTCTCATTCACCCATGTATGTATATACAACAATTGTTGTTGGAGATAATTGCATCTATAGTCCTCATACTCGTTGGCGACGTCCAACTCAGTCCTGGAACTTAGGTATTGCTTCAATACGGTCCCGGTACATGAAAATACATGGTCAATACGGTCCCTGAGGTTGAAATACAAGTCCTGGCTCTACACGTCACATATGTATCTCGTATTTCTATAGTGGAGGACACGTCCATATGCGGCCCATATGTCAGTGGGCCGAGAAATAAAATGAAAAAAGACATGCATGGGGGATTCGAACCCACACGCTTTGTCCAACCACAGCCCGAGCAGGCAACCAGGCCAAGTGCATGATCTTGTTTAACATGGGGATGCACTACATATACTATAAGCATAGTGATTGGGGCCCGCCATTGCGGGCCGCTTGAGAAGGAACTGTGTGCACGTTTCTCTATCTTAAAGAAAAAAAGAAAAAAAAACCTCGCCTTTCTCAAAATTTTAAAAAACTTTCTCGCATCATGTCAGCATCACACTCATCTCAAAAAGGGAAAGAAAAAGGCTAGAAAAAATTTCTCAAAAATAAAAAGGGAAAAAGTCTCGCCTCCATCTTGCAAAAATAATCTAAGAAAAGATTTCTCACTGTGGCCAACCAGCAATTTTGAGATAAGATTTTTAATATATGTTTGTATGCACACATTATATTCTACTCCCTCCGTAAACAAATATAAGAATGTGAAGATCACTAATAGCATGAATGTGCATGACAAAGGTTGTGTGTACAAAGTATGTGCATGCATCAAAGGTCCCAATTAGTGCTCCTTTTTTCTCTCCAATCAACATGCAACAAGTGCTCCAATCAACATGCAACCTACTGCTCCTTTTTCTCCCCAATCAGCACGCACCATGTGGCCCAACCAACATGCAGCTTCCTGCCCAACCTCCTGGATCCACGTGGACACTCCCTTTGCTCTCCCAGCAAGCGCCCCTTAATGAGTTTGATATCACTGCCTCTTTAAAAATATACGTCAATTTTAAAATATTCATGACTTTTTATTTTTAAAAAGTGTTCACCGATTCACAAAATGTTCATGATTAAAAAGTAAAACGTTGTGTCTACAGCAAAAGTATTGATGAATTCAAAAATGTTCGTCAATAAAAAATGTTTATGAATTTCAAAAGTTCTTCACAAATTTCAAGAAATATTTGCCTATGCAAAAATAAATAAACTTGTTGACGAGTTCCAAAAAACATGTACGCAGTTTCAGAAAATATTCACTAACTTGTAAAAAGTTCATGAATTTAGAAAATGTTGGCAACTTCAAAAATATGGTGAACATTTTGGGAGTGCATCTCCTCACATATATATAGGGAGTGCAACTTAGCAAATTCCAAAAAAAAAAGTTCGCAACATGTACAAAAGACTAAATATATAGGGCATGCATCTCCTCACATATCGCGCGCGCGCGCACACACACACACACACTTGGTATTCATGAATTGATTTTTTTTATGTTCATCGATTCAAAAATGCACATGATTCAAAAGTAAAAGTTTGTGTATACAAAAAATGTCCTTGAATTTATGAAAATATTCAAGAAAATGCTTGGGATTTAGAAAACTATATTTCGTAAATTTTCAAAAAATGTTCACTGATTCAAAAAATATTGATGAATTCAAAAATTGTTCACAAACAAAATGTTTCTAAATTTCAAAATTTATTCAAGAATTTAACAAAATTGTTCGCTTATGCAAAAAAACTTGTTGATGAGTTCCAAAAACCATGTACGCCATTTCAAAAAGTATTTGCCAATTTGTAAAAAGTTGATGAATTAAGAAAAAAAATCGCAACTTCAAAAATATGGTGAACACTTTTTCCAATTCGATAAACAAATTTTAAATTCGAAAAATGTTCAGCCCAAATTTAAAAAATGTTGACCAATTTGAAAAAAAAAATCATGAATTAAAAATATTCGAAATTTCAAAATTTCTGTATGCAGTGGGCTCAGGCGGGGGGGTGGGTACGCACCAGGTTGAGTGCGCCAAATAGGAGTCTGCCAAAAAATATGAACACGTACAAAAAACCAAAACACACAGAAGACAGCTGGGCTGTAGCTATAAAACAAAAGAAACAGGCCCGTACAGCCCAAAAAAAGACTCTGAATACCTAATTATATTTATTTTCACTAGAAAAAATTGAGTGCTCGAGCAGCAAAAATGAACATTCCTTTCTGGAGATCAGTTGCTTACTGTGAAGAGAGACGACGGCCACTCAAACTCAAGAAAACTAGTCTGAGGAAGCTTCAGTTAAGTTCAGCTAGCGGTCCGTGGATCGAACTAAGACCCAGGACGGCTGAGACAATCCTCCGTACTAGCAAAATATAAGACGTTTTACCAGTTCAATTTTAACAGCAAAAGCATCTTATATTTTGGTAAGTCCGTCCCAAAATTAAATTCTTGTCTTAGATTTGTCTAAAGACGGATGTATCAAGTCACATGTTAGTATTAGGTACATCCGTATCTAGACAATTCTAAAACAAGAATTTTGGGACGGAGGGAGTACATGTGAAGGGAGGGAGGGAGGCAATTCAAGTTCCCCTCTACTCTACCATTTGATTGATGAATCTGTGTTTGCATGCAGTCTAATCTCGAGTCGAGTGCAAAGGCTCCATCAAGTTGAAATGTAAGCAGTTCCCACACCAACACAGGAAACTAGCTAGAATGAAGATTATTATACACACACACACACACACACACACACACACACACACTCAAGAAATATACTCCTAATTAACTGCAACACCCAGCACCTGCTGACTGCACTGCACTACTTACTGCATTCATTCATTCATTCATGAACCACAAAATGCAGATGCAGAGACCAAACCACCAAAAACATAATGCCACTCTTCTCTTCTCTTCTCTTCTCTTCTCTTCTCTTCTCTTCTCTTGTGTCCGTCCCAACAACAACCAACAACCAACCGTTGCACTACTACTCTCAATAAATCCCTCCTTCACTGTGCACAAAGAAATTAGCATCCATCCATCATCAGCAATCAAGGGGATTAGATTAGGGGCTGTTGATGATCCCCGCCATCATCTTTTTTATCTGCCCAAACACAACAACAACAACAACACCAACACCTCATTGTTATTATCATCTCTATCATATTATTATTGCCAATCAGCACAAAACACACATCTCTTCTCTTCACTAACCCATCACATCAGCTAAACACCTTGCATGTAGTATATCTATTCTAGGGAACCAAACACATCTAGTTAGTATATCTACAGTAATTATATGACAGAGATAGATGCGAGTCACATCATATCAACAGTGATGGAATGGTATTTCTTGTGATGAAACACTAGTAAGCATAAACCAACCAAATACAACAATATTGATGTTGCATGTATATGAAGTAAAAAGTGTGGTTCACTCGGTCAGTACCTCCGTCTTATTCATTCCAATGACATCCCTCAGATCATCTATCTGCAAAACCATGCAACAAGGACGACGCACACCGTAAGTCATAATTAACTTGGCTACTGGTTTTGCCTAAACTTTCTATGTGATGTCGAGCTACAACACCTACCCCTTTAAACAGCTCCGGTGAATGCTCACGAAGCTCGATGATGTAATTTGCTCTTTTCTCTCCGATGCCCTGCAAATTCACAGCAGGTTAGTGAAAAAACAAAACAAAACAAAACTGAGGGGTAACAGTCACTAAGATCGAAACCTTCAAGCTCTTCAATTGCTCCCTGCAATGGACATACAAACATGCATTAGATAAGCAGACACAGTTCCCAATGACTGATTTGTTATTAGTTAGGATTGTACTCACTTGTTAGCGCTGTTGAGAAAACTCAAGCACTCCTGGACTATGGATTTCTGTGGTAACACAAAAAGGAAGTGTTCATCAACAAGGTCAATAATGTAGAGGAGATATGACAAGGATGTGTCAGCAAGGTGTGTGTGAACTACCAACCTTTATCCCGGTGCTACGAGTCTTGAATGAACTAGTCGGATAATCTGCTGCTTGCTCAAACTTGAGGTGTATCGCAGGAGTCTTTGGATCTGCTGGTTGCTCGACCTTGAGGTGCATCGCAGGCGTCTTTGGTTCAGGTGCATCTATGTTGGTCCCACCCTGGACACATTCCATGCCCACTTCTTGTGTCGTTTCAGTGGCCACTTCCTGTGTTGTTTTAACAGCCACCACTACTTGCGTTGTTTCAACAGCCACTTCCTGTGTCATTTCAGTGGCCACTTCCTGTGTTGTTTCAGTGGCCACTTCTTGTGTTGTTTCAACAGCCACTTCCTGTGCCGTCTCAACAGCCACTTCCTGTGTTGTTTCAGTGGCCACTTCTTGTGCCGTCTCAACAGTCACTTCTTGTATTGTTTCAACAGCCACTTCTTCTGCCGTTTCAATGGCCACTTGTGTTGTTTCAACAGCCACTTCTTGTGTTGTTTCAATGGCCACTTCTTGTGCTGCTTCAACAGCAACTCCTTGTGTCGTCTCCATGCCCTCTTCCTGTGTCGTTCCAGTGGCAACTTCTTGTGTCGTTCCAGTGGCAACTTCTTGTGTCGTTTCAATGGCCACTTCTTGTGTCGTCTCCATGCCCTCTTCTTGTTTCGTTTCAATGGCCACTTCTTCTGTCATCTCCAGGCCCTCTTCTTGTGTCTTTTCCATGGCCACTCCTTGTGTCTTTTCAATGGCCACTTCTTCTGTCTTCTCCATGCCCACTCCTTGTGTCATCTCCATGCCCTCTTCTTGTGTTGTTTCCATGGCCACTTCTTGTGTCTTTTCCATGGCCACCTTTTGCGTCTTCTCCATGCCCTCTTCTTGTGTCTTTTCCATGGCTACCTTTTGTGCCATTACGCTCAATGGACGAGCATTAAGAAGCTTCAGTGAGTTTGATATCTCTCTCAGCTTGTCGCTGATCTTTGGAGTGTTCATGTGAGTTTTGACTGGAGTCTTCTCGACAAAGGCATCTGGGAGTGACGATTGACTGTCAACTAGGTGTACACCAAAAGATTCGCCAAGAAAATAATACCAAGAGTTGTGTTTATACCAGGAATGTTTGAAGAGCAGGTTTCGCCCAAGTCCATGGTACACGAACTCGCTGCATCCAGACTTGACGATGAATGGTCCTGAATAAAGAGATGAAGATGATGTTTTTTCATGATAGACAGAACTGCTAAAACAAACAAACAAACAAAAAAAAACAGATCTACTTCTTCTGCACAGGCTATGTACCTCTTCCTCCATACCACTTGAGACCACCTTCTGTATTTCAGATGATACGGTATCCAGAGCATCGCTTGTTTTATCAAATCCCTGCAATATTGCGTCCAACATATGCCAACCATTACTAACACGGTTCTCAATCTACCTAGTGACACTATACTACCAGAAAGGAACCAACGTACCTCATCTGTAGATGGGGCACCGATTGCCATACCACTCGAGACCACCTTCTGTACTTCAGATGGGACAGTATCTAAAGCATCGCCTGTTTTGTCAAATCCCTGCATATTGTGTCAGGCATATGGCAATCATTATTAACAAGGTTATCATCTACCTAGTGACGCTATACTACCGGAAAGAAACCAATGTACCTAGCGACACTATACTACTGAAAAGAAACAAATGTACCTCATCTGTTGATGGAGCATCGATTTCCATGCCTTGTGATGATTGTATCTCCTGTAGAATGATGCAGTGGAAACAATTTAGATTAAGAAACTGATAGCCAAACAATCATGCACAAGTGCAATCCGTGTAACTAACCTCGACTTCTGTTACTGTTGCTGGTGCAATGACTGCTGCCTCTTCCTACAAATTTCATAGATTGGAATTGATTAGTTTGAAACATTAGAATGGCAACTTCAACACCTGCATACTACTCTGCTTGCAACATTGCAATAAGTTACTTACCTTTGCTGAATTGGTGCTTGGGCATAATAAGGCACTGTACATGTACAGAGGACACAAGTTATTTATGGAAGGAAAAATTGGACAAGAAATTTCCTGGAGTTAATGAATGGTGTGGTACCTTCCACTCGTTGCAGTAGGTTTAGCATCCTTTTGCTTTGTTTTGATAGAAGCAGAAAGCGAGCTTTCAAGTTTCTTTGCTGAGCGCATCATTACTTGAGACCTTTTACGGAATAAATAAAAATACACAATTTTAGTCAGGTACCAAGCTCAAATCAATCACCAGCCTTTCACAGGATTTATTAATGAACGGCGTAGTACCTTCCACTCATTGCGGGTTTGGCATCCTTTTGCTTCATCTTGGTTGGAGGAGAGACCGCGCTTTCAGGTTGAGACCTTGTAAGAAATCAAAAACAAAAGTCAGTCACCACGATGTTAGTCAAATTCCAAGCTCAAATTGTTCACCAGCCTTATGCAATGAATGGTGTGGTACCTTCCACTCATCGTGGGTTTAGCATCCTTTGGAGGCATTTTGATAGGAGTAGACAGCGAGCTCTCAAGGTTTTTTGCTGAATGCATGTTTGGTTGAGACCTTGTAAGAAAAATTAAAAGCAAACATTATCAACACAATATAAATCAATTGCAAAGCTCAAATCCTCTAGCAGCCTTCTGAAATGAATTGTGCGGTACCTTCCGCTCATTGTGGGTGTAGCAGCCTTTTGGGTAACTTTGATAGGAGTAGGGAGCGAGTTTTCAGATTTTTTCGCTGGATGCATGGTTGGTTGAGACCTTGTAAGAAACCAAAAACAAAAGTTAGTAATCACAATGTTAGTCAAGTGCCAGGGTCAAATCCATTCTCGGACAGGTTAGAAGGGTACCTCTTATTCGCAATGGGAGTTCGAGCTGCTTTTACTGCGCTCATATTCCATTGGGGCCGATCCTGCTGCTTCTCTACCACGGGATTCGGTTGGTGTGTAGAAGAAAGAATCGGCCTTGAGGAGCTTTTAGCAACTGCAGACAAGTTAACATCTGCCCTTTTGAAACTTGTAACACTCGTGGACCTGCGGCATTGTTCGTTAGCCGCTTGAGTGGCCACTTGACTCGAGCGAGCGGCCAAGCTGAGAGTATAAACCGTATCTTGGCAGGAAACTTCTTCCTGCATCAACCATGAAGGGATAAACGAAGTTTGAAATTGAATATTTATGAGTTATACGTATTAATATTAATTCCAACAGGTAGGTAAGCTAGTAAGCATAAAAGAACATGCAAGTTTGGTAGTTAAGGAACAAAAGTATTGCGACCTAATACGGAGTAATAAAGTTCAAGTAACCTCTTCATCCAATTCATGTCAGCTTCTGGGAGTGCTTACAAAGAGCTAGAACATGCATTCCAGTACTAGGCTGACATACATACGGATTTACAATATGCAAACACTACTTATCTTCTTTCGTGCCTCTTGCAATAAACAAAACAAAACAATAAACATACATACGGATTCCACACGAGATGAAGATGGGGAGTATAGCTTACCAAGCAGGCGATCACCACAGCCCCGCTCGTCTTGCACAGAGAGTCTTGCAGAATACGAGTCACTTTGCTCTGCCTGTATGGAACGAAGCTCTGGTTGCTGTTGAGCGCTTGCACGACATTCATCAGGGTGTACATGGACTTGTTGCCGCTCGACAGAGCGGCTGCTGCACCGCCGGTCTTCTGCTTGGGGTCCACATAGTCTGACACCAAGAAGCAAACATAATAAGGCAGATGCCACATACTAGTAGTGTGAGCGAGCCAGTGCTCGATGAGGTGCACGCAGGAGAAGATCACAACACAAACCTGTGAGGCTGAGAAAGTTGATCTTGGCCACGGGACGCTCTTTGCCGTCCTGGTCAGAGCTAGATATGTGTATGATGAGGCCTTGGTGCCCTCTGGCCGGTAGCTGGGTGGAAGAAGCTTTAGCGGGTTGCGGCTGGGTAGAAAATGGTTTAGTGGGTTGCTGCTGGGTAGAAGAAGAAGAAGCTTTGGTGGGCTGCTGCTTGTCCTGGTTCTCATCGAAACAACCCAGCCGCGTGAAATCCTCAATGGACTTGACATGAACCTGCAAAGGAAGACAAATAAATAAAAACATGTTAACAGAGTAAAATCACCACACTGTTAAGGTGGTTAAACTGGCTGGCATGTAAAAACAATTGGTATGAGTATGAATTCCAAGCAATTCTTCTTCTAAGTGTATTTTGTTATTCTCTGTTTGAAACAAGAATTTAAAAAGAGGCTGCATTGCATTGCATTGTGAGAGCAGAGTAGTAGTAGTACCTTGGAGAGGCCCTTGAGGTGTGTCTTGCCCTGGGCATCCTCCAGCACCAGGACCTCCTGCTCCTTGGGCTCCAGCAGATCAAAGACGTGGGTGTCCTGCACCACCTGGTAGGACGAGACCCTGACGGTGCCGCCGATGGACGCCGCGAAGTCGAGGATCTCCTCCATGGCGATGGTGACCAGGCCCGGCTGCTCCTGCGACCCCTGAGACAGACAGGCAGAGCAGGAACAATGTTCAGACATTCGAAATTTTAGATGCGTCCATACTGTCTGTCTGTGTTTCTCTGAAATTCGAAATTATACCTTGAAGAGGTGGTCCTTGGCGGCGGCGGCGCCGCAGGCCACGACGCATGCGGTGCCGGCGGTGGTCTGGGTGTGGTTGTGCAGGTGGTGGACGAGGATGGGGTGCAGCTCGTGGAGGAAGACGTGGTGGTTGGTCTCCTCCTGCAGGTAGCACCAGTCGAGCCTGTGCTCCTCCTTGCGCTGCCCGGCGGCGGCCCTCCTGCAAACACCCGCGAGGAGAGGAGGGGAAAAAAGTTGAGTTCTTGGATCCATCTTTGTTTCAGTCGGCAAGGAATTAATGGCAGAAGGAATCCTTGGATTACCCTTGGGAGGAAGAGGAGGGGGTTGGAGGAGCTGCGGCGGCGGCGGCGTCGGCGGTGAAGGAGAGGACGGCGCCGGCGCCGGGCCCGGAGGCGCGGGGGCGGCGGCCACGCGAGGCGGCGACCTGGAACAAGGATGTCCCGGCGGCAGGAGCTGGCGCTGTCGTCGCCGTGGATGCGGCAGAAGGGGGGCAGATCCTGGCGACGACCCGGACGGCGCCGTCCCCTCCGGGCAGTGCCGGCGCCGCCGATGGAACCGCCTCCACCTCCATGGAAATCAGATCTGCGGCGCTCAACAGCAGCTGCAGCTTCTTCTTCTTGTAGAGAGAGAGAGAGAGAGAGAGAGAGAGAGAGAGAGCCGTTGCGGGGTGGAGAGAGAGACGGGGATGGATGGAGAATTCGAAATGGAGATGGAGATGGGGAGCACATCCGCCCACAAGATGGAGAAAGAGAGAGAGGATGGATGGAGCGTCGCTACCCGGGCCGGGCCTCCATGCCTCCTAGCCCAGCCACCCCATCTCGGCCCGGCCCAGACCATTAGAGAAACAGGCCACAAGCCCGGACAGAAGCCAACTCTGTCTCACATGAGTTAGTTGCCAAATCCCTAGTTCACCTCAAAAAAAAAAACATGAGTTAGTTGCCACACACACATAGCTGCTGCTGCTGCTGCTTGGCATTGGCATTGGCATTGGGAGTGCAGTGCAGACTCATTGTTGTAACATTATTATTATACTCAAGCCAGCGCAAGCTTTGGCTGCACCTATCGCTGCTACACCATTAGTCACTTTAGATACTAAACTAAAATTTCCCCAAAAATATGTGCGAAATTTGGCTATCCTTGTCGAATCATAGACCGTGTGCTTCAAAACTTACTTCCCGTGTCGTTTTTCTTCTTCTTCTTCAATTTGTTCGAAACAGGCAAGGCCCTCCAAAGTTTTGACAACGTCTGCTCAGCAGAATATCGCATTATGACAAGCTTCTTAAGCACCATCTAACAACTTGGAATTATCCACATACACCAAACTTTGTGTTTGTCTACCAATTAGTTAAACTCCTCATCGACAACGCCTCCTCGTTTTCTTTACTCTCATGGAAAAAACAAAAGAAAAGAAAAGTGCGGGCAGCCTTCATTCTTCGATGCCTCTCCTCTGCACATGACCTTTCGGTCCTCAGTGGTGACAAGGTTCGTTGGATCTCGCACATGTGGACCCCGTTTAGTTGCTCGATGCTTTGACACTTTCACATGGGTATTTGTTTGCTTTTTCAAAGGGTTTTTGCCGGTTCTCCCCTTTTTTACTAACGATGCTCCTTCGAGAATGAAGAAACCTTGTGTTTCCTCCTTGATGTGCATGACCAAAAACTTCTGCAAGGAAAGCAATGAATACCCTGGTCGTTGAAGCAATTTGGAGCAACTTACCTTTTGAGCAAAATATGTCATTTGGTGCACCCGAGAAAATATATGGCGTCTGGTACGAGCGTGAGCACTCGTACCGCCATGACAACCTACCCCTTATCTGTCCAAACAAATTCCGTGAAGGAGGAGGCCAGATCCGAGGAGAAAGACAATAAAAAGGGAAGCCATACGACCGCCTCAAGAAGATAGAAGAGATACGGGAGAGAAGAAGTTCACTTAGATTCACTCCAGCCTTCTCCGGTCTTCAACCCCTCTTTTAGTCAATTTGTAAGAGAGAGTTATTCCAATTTGTGTAACTCCGTTCGCACTTATTCAGAGATTGAGATTGGATCGATCAGTCTGATCGATCATTCATATTATTGCGGTTCTTTGCTATATTATCAATATGATTCATCTTTTGTGTAATCTCTATGTTTATTGGTTATTCCCCTCATGTGTGAGTAATTTCCCATATATATGTGTGTGAGATTGAGGGGATTGGTGAGATTCATCTGTGCCCATTGTATATGTCATTATTTGTGAGACTATTTCTATTATTGATTGTTGAGTTGTTTATTTTGTGGTGAATGCAATGCATGTTGTCCAATTTAAGGGCCCACACAATACGGAAACACCTCCGTCGGCAAGGCTCTTACTTGCATGCGCATAGTTTGGTAGGCAGCGATGTATGGACTGAGCAAGCATATGTTGGTTGTGGGTACAACCAAATAATGCATTTATGAGTGTTGTCAACTAGCTTTTTACCCCGACAATGAGAAGAAAGGAGGGGAGATAATAGTGAACTGATGTTCAAAGGATCTTCAAAGTTGACTGCGGTGTATCTTTGTATACTATCTTCCAAAATGCCTATAAAATTACTTCGAACATAGAAGCTCTTGGTTTTACTTTGCACACCTTGCTAAAAAAGTCTTCGAGATGCAGCGGGCACACTGTGCACCTTGGTATGACTACGAGCCCTCTAGTCATGGAAGTTTATGCAGTCCAAGATGGTGCCTTCTTCGCATACTCTCTATTAGATTGCATGACTTGTTCTATCTCTGTTATTATAGTCATGCTTTATCTACTATTTTTGTGAATTAAATCATTTGGTAAATTACTCAATTTTCCAGTCCCCGTGCACTTTCATTTGCATGGTGAGAGAATATATGGAAAACACTAGTAGAAAAAGAGGCTTCCGTCCAGCCTCATTAGTCGCGAAACTGTAGGAACCGCGACTAATGAAGTCTTCAGTCGCGGTTCGGCAGATGAACCGCGACCAAATGCCTGGGCCCAGGGCGCTCGCGGGCTTTAGTCGCGGTTTGCCAGGAAAACCGCGACTAAAGGTGCGCAAAGGCCTTTAGTCGCGGTTGGCCAGGCCAACCGCGACTAAAGCTCCTCCCCTATATATACCAGTTCAGCACGCTCACTTAGCCATTTGGTGCCACTTCTCTTCACAAGCTTCACAAGGGGGTGTAGGTTTGCTTTTGGTTCATCTTATGCACACAAGGTGTTTGATGAAATGCCCTAAGAGGGTGAAACAAACATGATATGAAGTGTTGGAGCCACACTTGAGGTTCCTCATTTATTTTTTCCTCCTCGATCGCGGTTAGCAACTTGAACCTTTCATGCATGTGTGTCATTGATAAAATATGCATGTGTGCAGTTTATTGTTTAATTTATATTATTTGTAGCTAGTTAGTTTAACAAATGCATGATGGTTAATTATATATTTTATATTATAATAATGCAGATGAATCGGCAATGGATGTACGGTAACCGACTCTCCGGCGAGTTCACTACGGGTTTGAAAGATTTCCTCGTAGTGGCTAATGCGAACAAGCAGGGGGGTTTTGTTATCTGTCCATGTGTTATCTGTAAGAATCAGAAGGGTTACTCTTCCTCAAGAGATGTTCACATGCATCTGCTTCGGCACGGTTTCATGCCAAGCTATAATTGTTGGACCAAGCATGAAGAAAGAGGGGTTATAATGGAAGAAGATGAAGAAGGGGATGATTTCATCGATGAAAGCTATCTTGCTCATTTCGGTGATACTTTCATGGAGGATGCTGAAGGTGAAGGGGAAGGTGAAGAAGAGGCACGTGATGATCCCGTTGATGATCTTGGTCGGACCATTGCTGATGCACGGAGACGCTGCGAAACTGAAAAGGAGAGGGAGAATTTGGATCGCATGGTAGAGGATCACAGAAAGGCGCTGTACCCCGGATGCGATGATGGTCTGAAAAAGCTGGGCTGCACACTGGATTTGCTGAAATGGAAGGCAGAGGCAGGTGTAGCTGACTCGGCATTTGAAAACTTGCTGAAAATGTTGAAGAATATGTTTCCAAAGGATAACGAGTTGCCCGCCAGTACGTACGAAGCAAAGAAGGTTGTCTGCCCTCTAGGTTTAGAGGTTCTGAAGATACATGCATGCATCAACGACTGCATCCTCTACCGCGGTGAATACGAGAATTTGAATGAATGCCCGGTATGCACTGCATTGCGTTATAAGATCAGAGGCGATGACCCTGGTGACGATGTTGAGGGCCAGAAACCCAGGAAGAGGGTTCCCGCCAAGGTGATGTGGTATGCTCCTATAATACCACGGTTGAAACGTTTGTTCAGGAACAAAGAGCATGCCAAGTTTGATATGGTCAAGGATTTGAAAGTCATCTTTGGAAGGGAGCTGACCGGCAGATCACCGGCCGAAGCCTGCGGAACGCACTGGTGCTGAGGTATTTGATATGGTCAAGGATTTGAAAGTCATCTTTGGAAAGGGTCCTGGCGGACAATCAGTTCCGAAGGGAGCTGACGGGCACGCAGCCATGTGGAAGAAGAAATCTATATTCTGGGAGCTAGAATATTGGAAAGTCCTAGATGTCCGCTCTGCAATCGACGTGATGCACGTTACGAAGAATATTTGCGTGAACCTCCTAAGCTTCTTGGGCGTGTATGGGAAGACAAATGATACAAAGGAAGCACGGCAGGACCAGCAACGTTTTAAAGACCCTGATGACCGGCATCCGGAATGGTTTCAAGGTCGTGCCAGCTACGCTCTGACCAAAGAAGAGAAGGTCATCTTTTTTGAATGCCTGAGCAGTATGAAGGTCCCGTCTGGATTCTCGTCCAATATAAAGGGAATAATAAACATGGCGGAGAAAAAGTTCCAAAACCTGAAGTCTCACGACTGCCACGTGATTATGACGCAATTGCTTCCGATTGCTTTGAGGGGGCTCCTGCCGGAAAATGTTCGAGTAGCCATTGTGAAGCTATGTGCATTCCTCAATGCAATCTCTCAGAAGGTAATCAATCCAGAAGTTCTACCACGGTTACAGAACGATGTGATCCAATGTCTTGTCA